TTTTTTACCTGCATACAATAAGATGTAGGCTATAACTATACTGTATATATTATTGTAGTTGCACCGTGTATTGGGTTTAGACGAACAGTCTCACAGTCACAGAGTTAATAAAAAAAATAAAAGTACAAACTCACAGTTAAGTTATCGTGTCTAGCTTCCATACACATGCCAGTTAGCAAAAAAGCCTGCTGTTCAGTAACAAACACCAGCAGTAGCGCTACTATATTTTACGCTGCGTATCTTTTTTCGGAAGTGTTACACTTTCATTTGCCACTTTTTTGGCATTGATGATTAATTGTTGGAATGTTTTTTTCTAAATTGTTGATCCAGGACCCCTTGTATTCGACTTGGCCTCTATGAGACGAAAAACGCTACCGCATAATCCCCCCCCCCATAGTTGCGCCCCTGCTCAGGCTACACGGGGGGGTCTTTGTTGTTGCCTCGCTCCACTTGGATGCTGGGGATGCAGTGGTGTGTGGCTCTGCCGCCACTCCAAATGTCAACTCGGAACTATTGTCGGCCACGCGGCTCCCAGCGAGCACGGCGGCTGCTTCTGAAAGCCGCAGCCTCCCAGAGGTCGTCTCGGCCAATGGGCGTCGTCTCCTTTTCTCAAATAAAACCGCGCGTCCCGATTGGCTGTGTCTACAAAACAGCAGCAGGATGACGGTTGGAAGGGGGCAGTGGGGGGGCGTGTTGTGTGTTTGTTGTGAGCGTCCGTCTCAATGTGCGTTAGTGACCGCATGTGTTAGTGACGGAGTGTGGTAGTGTAGTGGTTGGCGCGCTGCTCTACGAACCCAGCCACCCGAATACGATTCCCACTCACGACCAACACCAGTGACGATTATCTGAACCGGTCCTGGGCATCCCCTTAAGTCAAGGATCGGAAACCTGCGGCTCCAGGGCCGCATGCGGGCTCATTAAAGACTGTCTCGTGACGTTAGTTATTAAGGATCTCCGTCTCGTATTCACCACAGTGCACTGCGGCTCTTGATTTTTTTTTTACAGAATTCGAAAGGCTCTTCTTGTTAGTTTGGTTGCCGACCCGTGACCTAAGTTGACTCAGACTCAAATGAGTGTCTGGTGCAGTGTCTGAAACACCGCCAATAGGGAAACAAAGGCGGCCGGGCGTGGTGTTGGCCACCCACCCCCGCGTGTGCCGGTGCCTACCGTGTGCTGTCTGTGCATTTTGGAGGTTTACAATGCACGTGGGCTTTCTGCAAGCACTGTGGTATCCTCCCACACGCGCGCAAGCACTCCAAATATTTTGGCCAAACATTCCACGCCGGACTCTGAAGCAGAATCTTCAAGACGCAATGAGCTCTCAGCTGGGCTTTAATTCTGTGAGTGTATGCTGCGATGAGCACGGTTGGCTACGATACGATGCGAAAAAAGTTGAACATGCATACAGAAACATGCGTTTAGATTCTTTTGCACCAAAAAAATGTCCACAAGTGATGATATAAGCCGCTTCGATGAGCTATCATCACGTGTGGCCAGGTCGCATCTGATTAACAGCTGATTGCTCAGTGGGCTTTACTTGGTAAATACATCATTAGTGTCGACTGTAGAGCAGTAGATCTTGACTTTTACTGCAGCCTTGCACCCCTTTCATTGTCAATCGGAAAAAAAGTATAATGTTAATAAATGCATAGGTTTTATGAAACAAAGTAGCTGTACTTACGTGCCCATGCTTAACGTGTTTCGATGATTTACCTTCTAAAAACATCTGGCATGTCTCGCCCCCCCAAAAAGGGCATCTCGCACCCCCAGGGAGGTGCAACGTGCAGCCCAGCTGAAGGAGGAGCACTGCTCTGCAGAGCGCGAGGAGCCCGGTGGAGGTGGCTCCATGACCCTTCCCGTGGCGTGGTCTCTCTGTGTTTCTCTCTCTCTGTTTCTCTGTCTCTGTGTGTCTCTCTCGCAATGCGACGCTCTGTTGGCCATGTGGTGGGCTCCGGGAGGATGTCCGCACATCGCGCCTTCGTACAAACACACACATTGGATGTTCGATGATGGAAACATTAATCGGGCCTGGTTAATTATTTCTGGGGAGCTGCTAACCGGCGGGGAGCGCTGGACATATCACCGCACGGGCTCTTGCTGGCGCTCGATCACTTATTAACTCGCGTGAGGCTGCGTGGTGACGCGCCTTCGAATTACACCACAACACTCCAATTTCACGCTTCACATCGCATGCATAATGCCAGCCGTACGCTCCAAGCGCAGATATTGCGGCATAATGTGCGCATGCAAGTGAAGCAGACGCCACAGGACAATCGTCATTACCCTGCATTACAACACAGAGGAGCAGGAGTTTCATCATTTCCATCGCATGCTGTCGATGGCAGGAGTGGGAGAGCAGTTCGTGAGACATGTTAATGTAAATTTGAGAACCCAAATGTGAAACCCCACGCATCCCGCATGCCGCACGGGATTATTTTGGAGTGTGTGGAGTTCGGATTTGAGGCTGCCATGAGCCGGGCGGCGATGGCTATGCTTGCTGCACGTGGCCTGTAGTCCAGCACTGCGGAGGCAGCGAGGGTTGGTGGATCGCACACAGATTGGGTTGTAAAACTCCCTTCCTGTGGGTGTCCAGGAGGTACCATACCCTGACTCTCCAGGAGAAGGCAACAAATAAAGTGGGCGAATCGCCATCTGTTTTGGTAAAATTTGTATGGCGATAGAGCGTTGCCCCCTTGCGCGTGGACTTTCTCCGGGTGCTCCGGCTTCCTCACACTGTATAAAAAAAAACACAACTCATCATGTGTTGAAAACACATTAAAAACACAATGCAGGACTCTCCTGAAATGTGTCCTACGACTGAGCGTGGCTTTCCTGGATAGATGACTAAAGTAATGAATTAAGTAAATTAATGAATGAGTTATGACTAATTGAATGAGTGAGGGCGCTTGTTGACGGTGCCACGCGCGGTGCGCCGACTCTGCAGCGAGCGCTGTTCGGTGGTGGCGGCGGCGAGGAGGAGGTCGCCAGCCACGTGGAGACGCGAGGGTCACCGGGTGAAGGGGAGCGGTGGCGCCTGCGATGCTTCACTCGAGGCGCCTCCGAAGCTGAGAGTCCGCGGTCCAAGCCCTGCATCCCCACGCCAGGCACTCACCGCTTCACACTCGATACACGCAGCGGTGGTGACATCACCATGGCAGCTTCACCCAGCAAGGTGCACTCTAAGGCCATATATACAACGAGGGTTTTGTCCGTCCAAGGACGGGTGTATTTCAGTAAATCTGAAACTTGCAAGCAAAAAGCAGACCGTGAAGTGATATTCACTGTATCCATTCGTGTGCAATTTGTAAGGCCGCGGTGACACAGACTTATTTCATTTTAAGGTGATAATCCCTTGTTCATCATGACGTCATTTTTACTTCTATGTATTAACAGCGTTACGGTGATCGCGTGACGTGAGGGTTCTGCCTTTATGGTGAGGGGTGTGAGTTGACGCCAAGGAGGGGGGAGAAGGCGCCTCGCCCCCCCATGGGGAGTGACGTCACCCGCTAATTATTATTAATGAAGAGGGGGGTGTGTCCATTTGGAGGACGTCACCTGTTCATTTTTTATTAATGAGGGGGGCTGTTCGATGTGGAGTGATATCACCTGCTCATGATTATTAATGAGGGGGGGGTCCATGTGGAGGACGTCACTTGTTCATGATTATTAATGAGGGGGGCTGTTCGATGTGGAGTGACGTCATCTGCTCATGATTATTAATGAGGAGGGCTGGTCGACGTGGAATGACGTCACGCGCGGGACACACAAGACATTCTTGGCTCATTATAGTAGTAAATTAATGAAGGCTCGCTGCTAACACAGTGTCACAAAACAGAATCCAGGCGCCATGGGTTAGTTGACTGAGTTGACTGGCAGACGCACCACCCGTGCTCCCCACTATGTTAAGCCACCCCGTGCTCTGCTCGTTGTTGTGAGCGTCGAGATTACTGGAAGGCGGCTGCCTCCAACTACCCAGTAGCGTCATTCACAGAGGCTGATCTTGACGCTGCTAGCAAGGTCCACATGCACATATCTCGCTCCTCCTGCACCACATCAGCCCATCTTGTTCTTAGTCCGTGTGTAATAAGTGGCTCCGACATGGCAGAACTTTATTTATTTATTAAAGGTTATTCACAGCCACGACTCCTCTCGTTACGCGGATGCCGTCGTTTTTTCTTGGCGTGACTTCGCTGCCGCACGCCACGTGGCGCTCACCCCGATCTCCAAAGCACCGCTGGCTGGCGGCGCGCTGGGGAGCGGCTGAGCGGCTCGAGGTTGAGCTACCACTTGGCCGGTGGAGATGGCGGGGCAGCAGCGACGGCGAGCTCCTCTTCGATCTTTAACCACCGACCCTGAACCTTCCGCTACTCCCCGCTTATATTCCCTTTTCCGAGGCTAAGCCCCGCCTCTCGCCACGCCCCACCTTCGAGAACGTTCCAGAGGCTTCCATGCTAGCTCCGCCCATTAACCTTTCCCCCAGAGAGGACCCCACTACTTATAACGCATGGACTGTCTGACAGTATATAAAGTGTAACCCCTCAATTATGCAGGAGATGGCGCTCGCTTATTAGAAAGATGCGTTTAAAATATTTCCACGATAAGTCACTTCGTTGAGCCATAATTTGTGGCCAGGTGGCTTGTGAAAAAGAGCTATATAGCTCAGTAGGTATTGCCTGGTAGAATAAAAAATAGTTTAGTTTTTGTTAGTTTATCGAACCAAAATATCGTCGATTGTTGGAGGAGCTCACTCATGGGACAGTGTCCAGACCTTTCGATTATTCTGTGAGCCCCTCGCACAATCCAATCTGGGGGTAGACCCAAGCAGGCGTTCCTTGTAAAGGGGGCCACGTTGTGAATACCTTTCACGATGTGGCAGAAACGACCTGGAGCTTCGTATGGAGAAACAGGTCAGGCAGCTTTACGACAGCGTCACGCAGCTGAAGGAAATATAAAGCTCCTTGGTTTGTCGTGAGATAGCCACTGTAAAGGCTTGGCTTGTCACGAGCACAAGGTAAGGGAACTACCCCATGTTGTTTATACCCAGTCCATTTACTCATGACGAGCTGAGATGGTGGCGTTTTTGATCACACAGTGTATCCACGCAGGTGCTTTGTTTAACTGAGAAGTCCACGTCTCTTCTCAGAGTTTATCAACTATTTTCAAGTCATAAGCATGTCTAGTGGGGAGTCGTCCTCGGACCTCATCTGGGCATCGATGAGCCTGCCAATGCCCGCTTGCACCAGATGGAAATACGTCTTACACAGCCACGGAAAGCTTCACAACGTACACGGTGAACAAAATGTGAAATAGGGTTATTTTATTATTATTACCAGAAGCAAGGCCGTAATTATAATATATATTGAGGGGGACACATCCCCCCCCCCCCCAATATTCAAATATGCTCAAAATATCCCCCCCAATATATTGCTATAAAATAGATTTCTGTTTATATGATTGTGATTATGGTTGTACTTTATTAATCCCTAATCTCTGCCATTACATACAATGAAACAAGAAAATATAAAAAAAGAAAAAAACAGAGCAATGTAATACAAAACACTATTAGACGTTATTGTTAAAAATAAAGAAAAAGTCCATCCTATGTGTTAGTTATTTTTTTTTATATTTTAGGCAGGAAATTCGTTTTCAAATTAGGATTTTTTTCTGGGGAGGGGGGGGGGACCCCCAGACCCCCTGGAAGATTTGGTCCCCCCCAATGTTGACTCCATGGTTACGGCCTTGGCCAGAAGGCATCCTTGTGGCACCCTCAGGCTCAGACTCCCGACTACGCACCTTTATCTGGACCTGTCCACCATCATGAAGGACCTAATGATCGGGTGCAGATGATGATGGACCTGCACAAAGACAAACATCCCCCGTGTAGTCTGAACAGACTGTTGGGGCAAGTTCATTGAGCGAGCACCTCTAAAGGCCGGAAATATAATACTGTACCTGCTTCGGAGTTAAATACCCACTGTAGTTAGTGGGGCTTGTCATGAGCACGAAGACAGGTACACATACGCGTACACACACAGGCGCTCACACACAGGCGCTCACACACAGAGACAAATATCCCCCGAATATTCTCAACAGTCTGTTGGGGCAAGTGCTGTTAACGAGCACCTATAAAGGTGAATGGCCAGCACCATGCTCTACCACCCTTGTCTCCCTAGTGGTGACGTTTACATACCACACCAGGTACTCATTTGAGACTGAGTCGACCTAGGGGAGGCCTAGGACCGGTTCAAATAATCGTCACTGGTGTTGGCCATGAGCAGGATTCGAACTCGGATGGCATGGTTCATGGCGCAGCGCGCTAGCCGCTACACTACCGCTCCCCACACAGACAGGTACACATACACGTGCACACACACTCACGCTCACACACAGACACGTACACATACACGTGCATACACACTCACGCTCACACACAGACAGGTACAGATACACTCACACAAATGATAGGTACACATACGAGTACATACATACACACAGACAGGTACACATAAATACACACGTGCATGTACACATACATACAAAGAAAGGCACACTCACACGTACACACACACGTACACACACAGGCACGCCCATGCACTCTGGTTGTAAAACTGCTGAAACCGGTTAAACGTGCTGATTTTTAGTGTCCCTGCCTCCGAGTCCATGGTGTTTCTCAGAAATCAGCTTTTATCTCAGCCCGCAGCGGTAAACACGCTCGCGTTGTTATCATAAAATCGTCTCGTATGCACGTGCCACGCCAGATTAATATCGCTTACGATCAACGCAGAGCCTCCCCATAACTCCTGAGCGACTCAGTGAGCGACTCGGGGAGCGACTCAGGGAGCGACGCGGCAGCGCGTGGCGTGCCGCGCCCAGCCGCCTGCCACGCGCACACCCCGTGCCTCGACCCTCGACCCGAGCCACCCCTCCTCGACACGAACTTCCTGATTAGAAATCAGATCCGGCTTGGTCTCCCCACCTACTCATTAACCCTCCAGTTGTGTAACAATAAAGGTTCATATTCTTGGTTCTTTCGGTAAAGTCACGAAGAAGGGAAATAATCATTATTTCCCTTCTTATTTCCCTTCTACGTGACTGCAGTCACGAAATCTTTAAATCAAAATAAAGGTTTAGACAAGAAAAAAAAACCCACGTCACTGTCAATATTTCCTCTCTTCCCTGCTTCTCCCATCCAGCAAAACCAATCTCTCACACTCACACACTGGCGATACATTCCTTAACATGCGCACACTTTAGATCGCGATATGGAGACTCGCCCCATGCATCTCACCCTAAAGCCCGTGGGGTTATTCAAACGCCCCACTATTGTTAAACAAAGCAACAAGAGTTAACGATGGCAATGGGTCCAATTTACACGTCAAATCGTTCGGGTAGTGAACTGAGCGAGGGGCATTCGTGATCTCTGCGGGGGAGGGGGTGGTGTTGGGCGAGGGGAGGAGCATCCAGACAAAGAGGAGGACACCTCGATTTGAATTGAAACCAGGTGAGAGGCGATTCGAACGTCGCTTACTCAACGGAGGTACGAGGGAAACGATGCAAATCGGATACTGCCGGGAGTACAACACCCGCAACCACACACGTTTCACAATCTGTAAATAAAAAATGAAATGTAGACGTTAAGTACACAGACGCGTTTAAAGAGGAATGGAGAGGCAATGATACACAGAACCAATGGGTAAATAAAACGGGATAAGACCTCGAGGAGTGAGCTGACGCATTTACCCTGACACTGCGGGAGTCACTATGAGACCTCCTTTACCAGTGGCAAAATATAGTAATAGGTACAAAACTGACCCCTTTATACAAGGCATCATGTTTGCATTAACCACAACACAAGCAGTCAAAATGCAAACAAAAAGAAACAACTGATAATGATATGCACTGTTCTTGAAGTTGATTGGTCCACACAAGAGACAGCTTTTCTTAAAGCCTAGTCTCCATTGGTGTTGGACCAGATGACGCCAAAAGGCGTACAAGTTGTACGCCTTTTTGTTTGCATCTTGACTGCTTGTGTTGTGGTTAATGCAAACATGATGCCTTGTATAAAGGTGTCAGTTTTTGTACCAGTTGAAAGGGTAAAAACCTATTACTATATTTTGCCACTGGTAAAGGAGGTCTCATAGTGTAAGTGCTTACCCCGAGCTCTCAATACTCTGATAGTGCGCTGTTTCTGAGTTGTACACCTTTTTGCCACCACTGTGTAGAGTAAGAGACGCCACCACTGTGTAGATTAAGAGACGCCATCACTGTGTAGAGTAAGAGACGCCACCACTGTGTAAAGTAAGAGACGCCATCACTGTGTACAGTAAGAGACGCCATCACTGTGTAAAGTAAGATACGCCATCACTGTGTAAAGTAAGAGACGCCATCACTGTGTAGAGTAAGAGACGCCATCACTGTGTAGAGTAAGAGACGCCACCACTGTGTAGAGTAAGAGACGCCATCACTGTGTAAAGTAAGAGACGCCATCACTGTGTAGAGTAAGAGACGCCACCACGGTGTAGAGTAAGAGACGCCACCACGGTGTAGAGTAAGAGACGCCACCACTGTGTAGAGTAAGAGACGCCACCGCTGTGTAGAGTAAGAGACGCCATCACTGTGTAGAGTAAGAGACGCCACCACTGTGTAGAGTAAGAGACGCCACCGCTGTGTAGAGTAAGAGACGCCACCACTGTGTAGAGTAAGAGACGCCACCACGGTGTAGAGTAAGAGACGCCACCGCTGTGTAGAGTAAGAGACGCCACCACTGTGTAGAGTAAGAGACGCCATCACTGTGTAGAGTAAGAGACGCCACCACTGTGTAAAGTAAGAGATGCCATCACTGTGTAAAGTAAGAGACGCCATCACTGTGTAAAGTAAGAGACGCCATCACTGTGTAGAGTAAGAGACGCCATCACTGTGTAGAGTAAGAGACGCCACCGCTGTGTAGAGTAAGAGACGCCATAACTGTGTAGAGTAAGAGACGCCACCGCTGTGTAGAGTAAGAGACGCCACCGCTGTGTAGAGTAAGAGACGCCATCACTGTGTAGAGTAAGAGACGCCATCACTGTGTAAAGTAAGAGACGCCATCACTGTGTAGAGTAAGAGACGCCACCACTGTGTAGAGTAAGAGACGCCACCGCTGTGTAGAGTAAGAGACGCCATAACTGTGTAGAGTAAGAGACGCCACCGCTGTGTAGAGTAAGAGACGCCACCACTGTGTAGAGTAAGAGACGCCATAACTGTGTAGAGTAAGAGACGCCACCACTGTGTAGAGTAAGAGACGCCACCACTGTGTAGAGTAAGAGACGCCACCACGGTGTAGAGTAAGAGACGCCATCACTGTGTAGAGTAAGATACGCCATCACTGTGTAAAGTAAGAGACGCCACCACTGTGTAGAGTAAGAGACGCCACCACTGTGTAAAGTAAGAGATGCCATCACTGTGTAAAGTAAGAGACGCCACCACTGTGTAGAGTAAGAGACGCCATCACTATGTAAAGTAAGAGACGCCATCACTATGTAAAGTAAGAGACGCCATCACTATGTAAAGTAAGAGACGCCACCACTGTGTAAAGTAAGAGACGCCATCAATGTGTAGAGTAAGAGACGCCATCAATGTGTAGAGTAAGAGACGCCACCACTGTGTAAAGTAAGAGATGCCATCACTGTGTAAAGTAAGAGACGCCATCAATGTGTAGAGTAAGAGACGCCACCACTGTGTAGAGTAAGAGACGCCACCACTGTGTAGAGTAAGAGACGCCACCACTGTGTAAAGTAAGAAACGCCACCACTGTGTAGAGTAAGAGACGCCATCACTGTGTAAAGTAAGAGACACCACCACTGTGTAGAGTAAGAGACGCCACCACTGTTTAAAGTAAGAGACGCCATCACTGCTCCAGGCTCACGGAGCGTCACGAGGGACTCCTTTGGCACGTGACCTCGGCACTGTCTGGTGCATCTCGGCTTGCAAGGGTTCACGTTCACACTCTGAGGAAATCGGATGCGCTCTCTA